TGCTGTGCAGTGCCGGTGGCAGCAAGGACATCGCACACCGCTATGAGCAAACCTCCACGAAATGCCGCGCCCGCTTTCCTCGCCCAAGTCCCACGACCCTCCACACCGATTTTCACTGGGCCCGGCGGGACGCGTCACGCTGGGCCCTTTGCTTGCTTTAGGAGTATAGAGAAGAGATAGAGAAGAGAAGAGAAGAGAAGAGAAGAGAAGAGAAGAGAAGAGAAGAGAAGAGAAGAGATAGAGAAGAGAAGAGAAGAGAAGAGAAGAGAAGAGGAGAAGAGAAGAGAAGAGATAGAGATAGAGAAGAGAAGAGAAGAGATAGGGAAGAAGGGGGGTAAAAAAAAGGAAAAAAGGGGAAACTAGAATGAAGCATTTGTGTTTCGCTAATACAGAGAAAGAGAGAGAAAGAGATACAAAAGAAAGTGGGCAGACAAGACAGAAAAAACTTAAGGAAGCACACAATGGAGAGGATGGAGAGGATGGAGAGAAAACAACGGAGGGTGAAAGACAAGAGGGGGAAAGGAGTGAGAAGCAGGAGAAGAGGGATAAGAGGGATAAAAGGGACAATAAAATGACACAGGACAGAGGAGAGAAAGGAAGCAGGAAGGATGCAGAAGGATAATGATGATGGAGTGGACAAGTGGAAAATAGGGGAGGGAGAGAGAGGGAAGGGAAAACAGGGAGGGGCAGTAGTTCATAGGGAGGATACTGGAGAAGGGTATGAGAGAAAAGGGCGAAGAAAGAAAACAAACTGAGTGACGAGAGTGAGAGAGGGAGGAGGAGAAGAGGACGAAGAGGGGTAAGGAGGGAGACTGGGAGGGGAGTAGTTGACAAGACACTGAAGCACGTCAGAAAGAGATGGTGATTCGGTTTGCATGGATGCTGGAGGCCCTACCTCACCTTATTCCTGTAGTGGAATTGCTTCTCGCAAGGTACAATCGGAAGCATGTAATTCCCACTGACTCCTCCATCCTCGCTTTTGCCAAACTTACCAATACGGTGGATAAGCTCTGCCACCTGTTCCTGTTTGATTGCCAGCTGTGCATGATATGCCAGCTGTTGCGTCTTGCAGCCACCACACGTAGGCGCATGCTGACAAGGCGCTTCCACAGCATTGTCATGTACCTCGAGAGTCTTAACCTTCACAGCCTGCATCAATCCACAAACAATCGATCCATGAACAAGACAATCGACCCATAACAAGAATGACCGNTCATGTACCTCGAGAGTCTTAACCTTCACAGCCTGCATCAATCCACAAACAATCGATCCATGAACAAGACAATCGACCCATAACAAGAATGACCGATCCATAACCAGAACAACCAATCCATAAACAATCGAGCTCTAAACAATCATCCATCAGCCAAATGCACCCTGGGCAGACTGTCGTGGTGGTTCAACCTCAGGATGAGTCTGAGAAAGTCGGATGAAACAGTGCTTTTTTCGTGGAGTTGTGTATACCGAACATGACAGCACAGAAACACACACGGACACCCACACCCACACCCACACCCACCCACACACACACACACACACACACACACACACACAAAGAAAGGGTTTGCATGCCTCTATTATACTTCATGTTGCTTGCTACAGAGCTGAAACTGTTTCATTGTTGGATTGTCTCAACTCAAGGGCTTTTGTTGTCTGCAAAAGGATGAATATGCTTTGATTTTGGATCTGCTCATCTGGGTGGAATAGGGGCTGTTGTGGTGAAAATTCAACACACACACACACACACACACACACACACACACACACACACACACACACACACACACATGGCCATGCACATGCACACACAGACACGCAGAGGTTGCCTCAATGGTGTGCGAGCTAACTTACAGCTGCGGGAACTGGGCTATGGTGGAGGGAGTAGTATTGCCCATCTGGGGCAAAGAAGTTCACAGATGGCCTCCAGAGAGGAGGTCATCATCATCAAGTAATGAGAGGAGAGAAGACTTGGACACTGTTCTCGAGGCAGTTCTCCACTGTTGATTCTTTGTGTGACCAGAAGCATGTACATTATCAGACAAAGATACCAATTTGTGAAAGGCATTAAGGAGGAAGGAAGAAGAGGTGGAATTGCTGAAGGTGTGTACGTGGTTGATAACACAAACCAAACTCAGCCACCATGTTCATAACCAACTCACTGCAAATCTTAGGTTATTTGGGTGAGCCTTGAGCTCCAGGTCACTTTTTCCTTTTTCTTCTCTAATACCTTAAAGGAAAAGGCGGGTCTCGCGTGACGGGCCCACGTGAGACAGCCCTCCCGGTGGCAGGGTCCCGGACGTGAGACCGGTTCGCGCGCGGTGCCGCAGGAGACCCAGGAGGGCGCGACGGTTGGGGAGGCCGCTAGCCGGGACGGGCGGCATATTCGCGACGGGCGGCGCATCGGTTCACGGAGTAGGTCGTGGTGGGAAACCGCCGGCCCAACGAACAGGCCGCGCCCACTGTTGCCCGTCGGAGTGGGGCGGTAGCGTGGCGGGTCGGTCGGGTGGACCATCGGGAGGCGTTCGGAGGTGCGGCGGGCCGGTCGGGTGGAGCGAGGGCGGAGAGGCACTCAGCGGCACTATCGGTCTGTCGGCCTATTCCAGGCACTGCGGGG